ACTACTACTACTACTACTACTACTACTACTACTACTACTACTACTAGTACTACTACTACTACTACGACTACTACTACTACTACTACTACTACTACTACTACTACTACTACTACTACTACTACTACTACTACTACTACTACTACTACTACTACTACTACTACTACTACTACTACTACTACTACTACTACTACTACTACTACTACTACTACTACTACTACTACTACTACTACTACTACTACTACTACTACTACTACTACTACTACTACTACTACTACTACTACTACTACTACTACTACTACTACTACTACTACCACTACCACTACCACTACCACTACTACTGCTAATTTGAATGCTACTACTGCTACTTCTACTTCTACTGCTACTGTTAAGATTTGTAGTGAAGGAGGAGGAGGAAGGAGGAAGGCGAGGAGGAGGGAGGAGGAGGAGGTTCCAGGACCAGTCCTGCTCACCGCCGAGAGACCAGGAGGGGGCCAAAATCGGAGACCTTTCCGCTCCCGTTTCGACCGCGCAGTCCTTGAGCCCAGTACGCCCAGAGGCGCCGGCGGCGCACAGAAGGGCGGCGGGGGCGGCGGCACACCGAGGAGCCCCCTCCCTCCCCGCGCTCCTCGGATGGGCCCGGGGGGCGCGGCCTCTGGACGGCGGCCCCTGCCGGAGGAGGAGCCGCCCCCCATCGGAGCCCTGCCCCCCGTGCGGCAGGTCCGTGTCGTGGCGACCCTGGCGTTGGTTGCCGACATCGCGGGGATCGTTGAACCTCGAACGATCGGCCGTGTCCGAAACGCCAGGATCGTTCAACATCGACCGATTCTGGGTCGCGGGCGGCGTTCGACGTTGGGCGCCGGCGGCGGGGTCGCCGCCGGTCGACACGACACGAACCTACCGCACTTCTGCCACTGACAGAAGGACCACAAAAAGAAGGAACGAAGCGCCTCTTTTGGGGCCCACCAGCGCCCGCGTGCACGAGGGCCGCTGGAGAAGCAGCCTTGGGAGCATCCGAGCAGCATCGAGCCCCTTCCGAACCCACACTTTGTTCCATAATTCAGCGTCTTGGCTGCACCCGCTAGACCCAGGGGCCTCCTAAATGGGGTCGGAGTAGATGGAATCGGAAGATCGCGCCGCAACGCCGATACATCGGCGATGCTCCGGATCCGGCGATGCACCAGCGATGCATCGGCGACGTCGGCGATGCATCGGCGCCGTTGGCGTGGAGAAAATGGGTCTCCGCATCGACCCGAATGGGCGATGCATCGGCGATGCGGCGCAATCCCCGACCCCATCTACTCGGACCCCATCTGGGAGGCCTAGAAAGGAAGGATCTAAGGAACATCGAGCCCCTTTCGAACCCAAACTGCTCCATATGTTTGCGTCTTGGACCCTGGCTGTGCCCCCAAGGACCCGACGTCGTAAAAGAGACGGCGTCGCGAAACTTCACGACCCGAACTTCCAGAAGCTGGCGGGGGGGCGGGTCGAACCGCGAACGCCCCGGGGCCCTGAGCGAGGACGTCCGCGTTATGTCAAACGACGCCCAGCACTGGAAGCAAGAAAACTATGCAAAGATCAAAGGGGCCCGGGGAGACACAAACAAATCGACGCAACTCCGAGGATTTCCCCAAACAAAATACATATCTTCTGGATAGTTGTGTGTCTTCCCCTCCATTTCCTCGATTTTATGTCTTTTCCTGGACATCGGTGTCTAGCCGTGTCTGTGCCTCTTCTTCCCTCCTGAGCATACACCAGTCCTGGCCTTGCCTGGCCAAGGGCCAGGACTTGTGCATGCACCCTCCCGAAGTGGCCAAGGATGCATCAATGCACCGATCCTGGGCCCAAGATGAGTCTGGCCAAGATCGGTGTCTATGTGCATACGGCAGGTTCGTGTCATGCCGACCCTGGCGTTGGTTCCTGACACCGCGAGGATCGTTCAACCTTGAGCGCTCGGCCGTTTCCCAAACGTCGGATCGTTCAACGTCGACCAATTCTGGATCACTGACGGCGTCCCACATTGAACGCCAGCTGCGGGATCACCGCCGGGATCGCCGCTGGTCGAGACGACACGAACCTACTGGAGTCTTCTTCGCTAGTCGGGGATCTCCGAGATCCGTCGGCCCTGGAGGCATCGGGCGCTGCGTCCGTTCCAAACCGCTTCGGGACGCTTTGAGAGCGTTCCGGAACGCGCTGGAACGATTTATCCCAGTCCTAGCCCTCGGGAACGCACTCAACTTCGTCCGTCCAGGGCCTCGTCGCGAACCCTTC